GGGGCACATGCTCGTGCACACAATATGGAATTCCGACAGATGTTTGTTCGGATCTTCCCCCCGTAGACCATGGAAAGAGGGAAGTAGATGAATGAGCCCAGATTTTAGCTCAAATGTGACCCCCGTATCAAGAGTTGGGAAAGTGATACATAGGGGTTGTTGATTTAGATTCGGAGCCGTGAGCTCCCTCAATGTTCTCGTTTCATGAGCCATAGTGATTGGATCTTCGGTCTCGCTAGAATGAGAACTAGCACTTGATGATTCTCCCGAGTCGGAGTTTGAAAATTTGTTTTTCAACCGCTCGAGAGTTCGTTCTATTTCGGGGTTTGAGTGGTATGTGATTTCGTTCAGTGAACGATATTTTACCATGTACTACAAAGCTCAGCAGAAATAGAAATCTTTATACTTGAACCATATATTTTTTTTTCTTTTCTTAAAATAAAAAAAAAAGAAAAATTAATCGCCTTTCCCCGGCAACGGCGCCAAATTTGACGTGCACTTTGTCGTGAGTGCACTCAAAATAAATCGATACTAGCACTTATACGTAGTATAGGTGAAGTAAAGTTCGTATCCACAGGGAAAGGAATAATTTATCTTTTTAATGAAAGGAGTAAATAACAGGGGGGTTTTGATTGTTGAGTGATTTAATTTAATTAAACACGAAGATGAACGAGTTATATGGGATTAAATTCAAGAATAAAAGGGACTTGGTCTTGCTACTTTCCACTTGTTGATGTATTTTAGTCGATCATTGTTATATCTATAATTTATCCCCTCTCGAATACTCAATCGAGGAGTATATCCAATTCATCGAGGGTAGTTATTAACAACGACCGTTCATTAATAACCCTTACTATTAATCAAATATAGAACAACGCCGTATACCGATATAATAGTAGCATTTAACCTCTTTAACTCCTAGATGAAATCAATTAAGATTGATAACCTCAACACAACGGTTTCGGTTTAACCAACAAAATTAATCCCTCTTAAGTTTATTAACCACGACCGTGCATTAATAAACCGAAGTTACTTACTTGTGAAACCATCAACGTTTAACCATCGGTTCGTTGATCGTTTCTAGTAATAATCAATGTTGGAACGTTAACTAATCGTCACTTAGCCACCCTCCAACATTAATATAGAATGAGATTAAGGGAAGAATTAATAATCAAGAGGAGAAAGTAAGAAAATAACTTACAACTTTAATAATCAACAAGCTTCAAGAGCAAAACCAAGAAATGGAAGTTTAGCTCCTCATTTGGAGACTAAACATGCTATAAAATATAAGAAATAACTATTCTAAACTGAATATGTGAAGAAGGAATACTTTTATGTGAAGAAAAAGGGGTGTATTTATAGGGAAATGAAGGTGACAGGATCATGTACCCGACCGGGTGTTTGGGGTACCCGATCAGGTACTCAGCTGGTTCCGAGAAGTGAGAAAACGTCATCTCATACCCGACCGGGTGTGTCGGTCTACCCGATCGGGTATGAGATCGGATTTTCCAAATATATTGCTCCCACGATCCTTTGTTTTCGGGATTTGATTCGGACAACGAAATCGGGTTAATACCCGATCGGGTATTGCATATACCCGACCGGGTATATGAACTTTTTTCCAAATCAATTTTTGATCTTGTTCCCTTGTACACCTTTTGGTCTTTGGGATCCATTTCTTGATCCTTTGAGTGCTTTCAACCTGTCCTATGCTCAGAATAATCCTAATCTAAACAATTTACATCAATTTAAATAAAACAAAACATTACACCAAAAGTGTGTAATTTCCAATCTAATGAATCACAAAACCAATTAAAAACGTACAAATACAAACGGAAATTACACACAAATCAAACGACATCCTCGAAACTCTCCACCCGCTGCTAGGGGTACACAACCTTTGGCCGCTATATAGGCTTTGTGGTCTGTCGAAGAAGAAAGCCCCACGAAAGGCGGACGAAAACCGCACAAGAAAGCCACATTTCGTCGAAGATGAAAGCGGAGAAAAACAACCCGTGACCTAAATCTCATTAACAAGAATTCTATGAAATTTTTTTGACAAGGAAATTAAAAATATTAGAATAGTATATATGCGTCTGTGAACATGTATATGCTCGGCATTTATATAGGGGGTGTTTGGTTAGCAGCCTATCAGTCATTTTTTGGCTGATTTGACTGCTATTTGGCTTTTTGACCAGATAAACCGCTAATAAGGGTGTTTGGTTAATTGGCCTTTTCATATAGCTTTTTATCCTTAACAGCCAAATTTAAAAAAGCTAATCAACCCAGCGTTTTGGGGGTTGGCCGTTCGAATTTCTATCGCAAATTCCTATTTTATCCGGACTGCGCACTGCACTGTATCCCTTCTCTTCTTGCTTGTCGTCTTCCACACTACCTTACGCAAAAACAAAACAGGGGAGCAAAGCCTTCTTCAACATGAGATGTTTCTCCTACTCCAAACTATTGAAATTTCTCTGCCAATGTATTGTTCTCCCTTCACATTAATTTTCCTTTGGATTTATCTTTTTCAATATGACAAATCAGCAATTCTGAAACAAATGAAACGAAGCCTTTTAATCCGCAAATCCATACTATGATGCCAATCATTGTTTTGATGTTTAAGGTGGAGTATTCATAACGCAAGCCACAGAGAACTTGCTTGTATTTCATATATATAGATCCAAGCTGAGGGAGGAGATATAGCAGATTAGCAGCCGCAAGAAAAAGGAAAAACTAGAGCCAAGCTTGAAAAAGATGGCAGCCCTCTTCCGCAGGGCAACCAGAGAAGGAGCGGGCTCTTGGAAGTAAAGCAAAAATATGTAGATTTCAATATTAGTTGTTGAGATTTTATGTTATACTCCTCTCCGTAAATAATGTTGGAACGAATTGTTATTAGTGTTAGTAAAATTTTATTTTAATTAAATAAAAATGGATTAAGTAGTTATCACATAATATTATCAAAATGGGTGAAATATATACGGAGTATAACAGTAGTTAGGATGTTTTTACTTGGACTGTAATTTGCTGGTCTGGTCTGGTCTGGTCTGATCTGGTCTGGTCTGGTCTGAACTGGTCTGGTCTGGTCTGGTAAGGTCTGGTTTCTTTGTATTTTTATAACTATCCAAGTCTGGTCTGGTCTGGTCTGGTCTGAACTGGTCTGGTCTGGTCTGGACTGGTCTGGTCTGGTCTGGGACAAATTACAGTCCAAGTAAAAACATCCTTAGTATACAAAACAAAGTAAATGATGTCCTTAAAAGTAATTTAACAAGTTAACAGCCGATTCTAAATCTTCGTTTAACCAAACACTATTTTACAAACAGTTAATACTATCTGCTAATCAAAACAGCCAACAGAAACCGTTATTACCAATCAGCCAACAGAATCGGCCAACAGCTAACAGCCAATTGCCAAATACCCCCATAGTTTTATTAATAATAAGACACGTCCTAAGGCGAAGAAGGAGAATAATTCTCATTTATGTCGTTTTTTTTACACTTACGTTTACCGAATGCACTTCTACACGATGACATAAAAGATTTATTCAATTAACAAATTGTCACCGCGTTATTTATTACTCCTATTGCAATGCGCTTTTACGGTCATTAGATCTCAAATTCAATATAGATGCATTTTCATTTTTTACAATAATTAAGCAATCTTCTCATTAGATCCTAATTCTATAAATAATTACACACAAAAGACTTACAAATAGATTGATGAGATGAATTTTTAATCACAAGACACGGTATCAATAAATGTGCAAAAGTTTATAGTACAAAGTGAATACAAATAAATTGCACTCATCAAGTTTAAAAAAGATTATTGAATTTTTCTAACTCTATCTTGCATTGCCCCTTTTAGTTATATGATGACCATCAATAAAAATTGGGTGAAATGTTATACCAGGGTTTACATTTTTACGATGTCCCATTTTTTTCAAGAGCAGTTATACATTGTGGTTCTCTTCGGTGCTCTTCCATCCGTGCTTCTTCTCTGCCGCTGCCGCAATGCTTCTCTTCGTCACTCCTCTTTGTCGCAACCGCAACCATTGCCCTCCCTCTTTACCGTTCCCGCCTGAATTTAGGCTCCTTTTGCGCCTAGGTGTTTACAAAGTATGAGCTCTTAGATGTAATGAATATAATACTACCTCCGTCCCAAAATTAACTTCTCATTCGGTTTATGATACTTGACTGACGATAAAGCAACTCGATCCTTGCTCACACTCGGATTATTTTTAGTAAATAAAATTTACATATTCAGAAACTACATTAAAACCGCTACAAAGCCTGATCAATAAAATTTAAATTTGATAAAAATTTGATATAAAAAGTAAAAGATTACAAGTGATTCAAGTTGACCAATGAATAGTGACTGTGAAGTTGTTTTTGGGACGGAGGGAGTACTTCGTAATAACTTTAGTCATAATATTACTCCCTCAGCTCCGTCCCAAAGTGATGGTCCTGTATTTCCTTTTTGGGATGTCCCAAAAAGATGGTCTTGTTTTCCTTTTTGGTAAAGAACTAAAAGCGGATTACCATTTATACCCCTCATTTTTAATGAACAGTAAAAGTAAAAGGATGAACAATACAACAAAGTAATGTTCTTTAGTGTTTCTACCACATTTTCTTAATCTTTGTTTCCAAAAGAAACAAGACCATCAAATTGGGACGGAGGGAGTAAGTTTTAATAATATTTTTGTAAATGAATTTATTTGAGCTAGTAATATTTTTGAAGAAAAACTTTTACTCCTTTTATAGAACAAAGAGATTCATGCCCATATTACAAACCTAACACCAAAACCACCATCAAGGCATCAATGAAAGGAGACAAGAAATTAAAACCCCACACATATAAATACATTACTGAATCAGCTACAATTATCAATTTCCCGTCCCAGTTTTGCAACTTGCCCACGTTTTTCATGCCGCATTAGGAAAAGCGCATTTCAATAGCTATATAATGTGGGGATTTTAACTATCAAATCCCCAACAACTACGGTACTACCTCCCAAAAGTTCCCAAAATCACATATACTTCGTATATCCAAATAAGGAATCGAAAGAAAAGAAAATGAGTAGCAGCATAGCTGAGAAATGGGAGGTGCTTAGCGGCAGCAAGAAATGGGAGGGCTTACTAAACCCTCTGGACCTAGACCTCCGCAAATATTTGATCCATTATGGGGAGATGACCCAAGTAACCTACGACACCTTCAACGCAGACTTGTTCTCCAAGTTCTGCGGAAGTAGCCGCTACTCCGAGGCCACTCTCTTCTCCAAGGTCGGGCTGGAGAAGTCCAGCCCGTACAAGTACGAGGTTGTCAAGTATATCTACGCGACATCCTCGTACACTGTCCCGGACGCCTTCCTCATCAAGCCCATCCCATTGGGTGCTTGGAGCAGGGAGTCCAACTGGATGGGGTATGTGGCGGTGGCGACGGACGAAGGAAAGGCGGCGCTAGGGAGGAGAGACATAATCGTGTGTTGGAGAGGGACGATCCGGGCGTTGGAGTGGGTGAATGATTTGGAGATAATCATGCTTCCCGCTCCAAAGATCTTTGAAACGGGTGGCGCTCTTGCCAACGTTCATAGAGGATTTTATTCGATTTACACGTCTGCCAATCCCGACTCTGCTTTTAATGTCAAGAGTGCAAGAGATCAGGTACATTTTTTTTTTTGGATTATTAGTTTATTTTATTTCAAACTATTATCAAATTCACAAATCTATTCTATTCTTTGACTTTTGTCATAAACAGACTCAAACTTCATCTTTTTCATGAATTATGCTTTTCTTTTTTTGTTTTTTCAAAACTGTTCAATCTTATCAATACCAATAAGATATAAGCAATACAAGCTTCTAAACATAAAACTAGAAAGAAGTGATGTTAAATGTCCTACACCGGAAACGTTTGGATGAACAAAGTGCTATATTAACACACATGTTACTCCTCCTATTAGGTTGACCTTTTAGGATGGAACCCCGTGTCTTAACATGGTATCAGAGTCAAATCGATCCATGGTGTGGGGCCCCTTATGAATCATGATGACACAATTATAAAAATGGCCAGATGAAAAAAAACGGACGATGAAAAAAAATGAATGATTGCAAGATCCAAACGAAGTGTCTGGTCGTGAGAAGTGGTGTTAAATGTCCCACACCGGAAATGATTGGATGAGCAAAGTGTTATATCAACACACATGCTACTCCTCCTATTAGGTTGACCTTTTAGGATGGAACCACTTGTCTTAACAAGTGAAAAAATATGAATATAAATACGATATTCTTATTAAGTTTTGCTAATTCATTCGTTGAGAGTGTAATTGTTAGAATAGTTGAAGTTTGAGTCATTGTTTAAATAAAAGTGAGTATAAGATACTTCGTAGATTTGTGAATTTGATGATACTCAAGGATATATTTAACTAATAATCCTTTACTTTTTCTAGCTTGCCAAGTTACTTGGAGTTGATAATTACACATTATGGCAGCTCATCACATAATTAAGACTCATTCACTCAGAATTGGTATACTTTTAATAAAATGAAATGAGCGTTCTTATTTGGAGCAATTTTGAACCAAACCAAATTAAATGACCAAAAATCAAACAAGTCTATACCACACAATTCCACATTAGATCAGACTTACATAAATGCATATAACAGACATGTTTACCAAGATCAAACAAGACTTAAACATATTAATCTAGAATAAAAAATCATTTCAATTAAAAAGGTTCGAAGTTAGCTTATCATCTAGGCGTCTACACATCGACAGCCACAGTGTTGTCTCCCTCGGCGGGGCGGTAGTGTCAATGAACGTAAACAGTTGACAACTAGATAGTGTGGAGGTTTTAACTAGTCCTTCTGTCCCCCTTATATCATCTCATTTTATCTTTTCACGAAGTCCCACTAAAATTGTGTGACTCTAAATTATATTTACTTTATCAATTAATATCAATCACATAAACCCACTTTTCTTAATAATCGTACCACCATCTTCCGTCTCAATATAAAAGGGATGGAGGTAGTATTGTAGTAAAACTAACTGACAGTGACCACTTTGACCGGCGGTAGTCACTGGGCAACGATGTTCACTAGGTATGGTTAGCGGCAACAACCACTATGACTGACAAGTGGTCACTATTGTTGACGGCAGTAGTCACTAGGAAGGTTAGATCACTAGGAGGGTCAATTCGCTAGATGAGTCAGGCCACTAGGGATAATTCAGTAAGTTTAATACGGACTATTAGTCACATTATTGGAGATTTAAAAAAAATCTCTTTTGTATCCGTTGTCCACTTTTTTAGTATTATGTGATAAAACTGTTTTTGTAAACAACATTTAAATTAGTCAAACTAAATGTGTAATTATTTCACAAAATAAACTACGGAGCTATGTTGTAAAAACCGGATCAGAGAGTGATCCGGCCACATGACTGGGTCACGGGTCAATCCGGATCCGGTGGGTCAACCCGGTCAACGCCGGAAAACCAGTCAATGATTATATATCTATATAATAATAGTAAACATATAATTATATATAAAATTATAATAAAAATTAGTTATTATTCATAATAATCTACTAACAATACTACTTATTGAGCATTTAATACACTCATAATATTTCAATGTATATTTTGATCTTATAAAAATATATAATGATTTTTTAATTTGTATTGTACATCTATATTATAATTTGGCATGATGTTCATTCTTAAATAAATATATAAATATATTACGTAGTTTTTCTTTTTAAGGTATTGAAATTGCAATTTTATTGGTATAAAAAATGCATTAAAAATAAAAAAGAAATTACTTTTTTTTGTAAAAACACCCAAAATTGGGTTTTGCCGGGTTTTTGAGGTTTCCTGGGTCCGGGTCTTGACCAGGTTTTCCCGGGTCAGCCGAGTTTTTCCGGGTTTTGACCATTTCCGGGTTTTGAAAAAACCGAACCGGTTTTTTGTCCGGGTCAACCCGGACGGGTTGGGTCGGTTTTTTAAACATAGCTACGGAGTACAATATATGATATACTTGTATAAGGAGAAATATAATTGTTTTCCGAAAGTACTAAACAAGACTCATCCGCTCCAAAACAGAATTTCCACTATATTTAGGGGTAATTTGAGTTTGCACCCATATTATTGTTCAAATTGGACTTTGCACCCCATTTCTGAAAATCTTTGTTTTTGCACCCCAACCCCTTATGAGAAGACAATAGTGTCCTCAAGTAGGAAGATGTTGAAGGGCAACAAATTATTAATTGAGGGACATTTTTGTCTTTTTCATACGGGGTTGGGTTCAAAAACAAAGATTTTTAAAAACGGGGTGAATAGTCAAATTTGGACATTAAAATGGGGTGCAAACTCAAATTAAGCTTTATTCTTCAATGAAGACAAACAGAGTAACAAGTCACTTTTTTTAACAAACTGAGTCTTAATTTAAGAAGAAAACATACTACGGAGTAAGTTTTATCTCCAAGTTTATAAGTAACTTTTTTTCAATGACTCATTAAAATGAGTTGAGTTTCACTCGGGATATATATGCCATAAAGTTAGGAATCTTTAAGTTAAATACTCCGTACATATATGTTCCCAAGTCACATAAATGTGAAGTAATTAGCACATGCACCTATTCAAGTACTGAATCCAATTATAAACGAAGTGCTAGTATTAACTTATCTTACATTATTCAATTCTAAGGTTATCGATGAGGTTAAGAGATTAGTTGAGCAATTCAAGGAGGAGGAAGTGAGCATAACCGTCTGTGGGCACAGCTTGGGAGCAGCCATTGCAACCTTAAACGCAACAGACATAGCCTATAACGGAATCAACAAAACCACCGACGGCAAGTCTTTTCCGGTCACCGCGTTCGTGTACGCGTGCCCGAGAACCGGAGACCACTTCTTCAAGAAAGTATTTGACTCAACGCCTAACCTCCACCTGCTACGAATCCGCAACATCCCCGACGTGGTCCCGCAAGTCCCACCAGCGACGCCGCTGGTGGGATACGCCGACGTCGGGGAGGAGTTGACCATCAACGTGACGAAATCGAAGTATGTGAAGCCGATAGGGGAGTTGGAGAGCTGGCACCTCCTGGAGCCGTACTTGCATGGGATAGCGGGAACGCAAGGGGTGGGGCTTCTGGATGGGTTCGAGCTGGTGGTGAAGCGTGACATAGCTTTGGTTAACAAGCAGCTGGATTATTTTGTTATGGGTCCAGCCCATATTTGCAATATCTTCTTTTGTTGTTTATGTTTTGGGCCTTGTTTGAAGAATTTTTATGTCCTATATTTTGGGTCCATTTGATATTGAGTTTTGGGCTTCTAAAACATTTTTTTAGAGTCCAACTTGCTGTAAAAGATCAGCTGGAGAAGGCTTTCCAAGACAGAAAAACGCACACACACAAAACAGAAGGTTTTGGGGACATTCCCGTTTTTCGACCTGCAGTACGTTGCTTCATTCAGCTCGTCGATCGGAGGTCTTCCCGTGGTCGGATTTTGCTGAAATTTGGACAGCTTGTTCGTGACTTCAAGGGCTTCATTTTGAACGGTCGGATTGTTCAGTTGAGCTCTGGTTTGGTCAAAATCACTGCACGAACAGACCTGCAGTTTTTGGGTGATTTCTACACCTTATTGTGCTATTTCAATCTCTTATTGTTATTGGTGATTGTTGGTGGGCTGTGAATCCTTTGTAGACTGATTTGGGGTTCTTTTACCCTCATTTATCAATAAGAGAATTAAGGGTGGACTCCTCAAGAGGTCCCGTGGTTTTTTATCCTTCACATTGAAGGGTTTTCCACGTAAAAAATCTTGTGTGCTCCGTGTGCTTTATTTCCGCTCTTTGTTGTGCTTTATATTCTGCAATTGTGCTGGTTTTGTGTGGTAATTGGTTGTGTGTCAGTTTGGGTTGCTCATTTAGTTGATTGTCTTGAGGTTGTGACTTTGTGGGTGTTATAGAGACACCTTATTTGACCCCTACAACTTGGTATCAGAGCCTGGGTTTAATCTGTCACATTATGGAGTCGGGTAGTAGTAACTCGATGGTAAAATTGACATCAACTAATTATTCTATTTGGAGACCTATGATGGAAGATATGTTATATTGCAAGGACTTGTATGACCCAATAGAATCTGTCACCAATACTGATGGTACTGTTTCTAAACCATCCAAACCAGAGAAAATGGAAGATAGGGAATGGCTAAAGTTGAAAAGAAAGGCTTTAGGGACTATTAGGCAATGGGTTGATATAAGCATTTTCAATCATGTGTCACAAGAGTCTGACCCTTATGAATTGTGGAAGAAGTTGGAAGGTCTTTATGAACGGAAGACTGCTCATAATAAAGCCTCTTTGATCAAGAAACTTGTTAATTTGAAACTGAAAAGTGGGAAGTCTGTTTCTGAGCATCTTAGTGATTTTCAGGATATTATTAACAAGTTGACTACTATGAAAATTTGTCTTGATGATGAGTTGCAGGCTTTATTTCTCTTGAGCTCTTTGCCAGACAGTTGGGAAACCTTGGT